AGCTTCAGCCCTTTTCCAAACACGGTCTTGGCAACAGTTTAGTCTTTGCCTGTCTTTTAAAGCGAGCATCCAGAGTTGACCTCAATGTAGCCCAAGACTGCAAAGACAACGTAAGTTGTATCACCCTCTTCTGCATGGAGACTTGCATTATGTCACAATAATAAAGTGCAGAAAGATCTTCCCAGATTCCTTCCAGCCATCTCCTAAGCTACACAGATGGAATCATAACCTTCTTCTTGTTAGCACTGCTATAAAAAGCATAGAGAAAGCAACTTGGGGGGGGGGGGGGTTCTGATTAAGTATTAGGAACAGAGAAAGATTATTACATCACTTTTCATGCAATTTCCTTCAAATAAACACATCTTGTGTTCATAAATTTTTCCCTGCTTTCCATCAATCCAAATTTCAGCCATGGCTTTAGACAAGTTTTTTTTTTTTAAGTGAAACATTCATGAAAGTTCTAGTCAAAGCAATAATGAAGTTTCTGCCTCTATGACTGCAGTGTGTACTGGATGTTCTGAAGTTCCTCACAAAATCTGAAGTCTACTGAGATGACTGAGCGAACTTCCTTTGCTCCTTTTTTATAGTGTCACTTAAAAGGTTGCAACACTTGCAGGGTTTATCGAAAGCATGGGTTCACAATGAATCCATATCTAAATTCATTAACCTGAAGCAGATCATTGGAATTTTCAGGTGAGACTTAAATTGTGAGCCATTTCCCCACCAACAGAATTACCACAGAGACCAACAGAGAGTTCTTCTGACGCTATGAACCAAAATATGAAAATGGTGCTTAATTTCAACAGACTTAGGTGATTATCAATCAGCATAATTCCATGGCCATCCATCCAGTTGATCTCAGTCACTTTTCCATTATAATAATAGTTACCACATCACATATTAAAGGATCCCACATTCTAATGGATTAGACTTTCACTCTTGCCAAAACATTTTCTACAGATCTTTAAAATTACTTGACCTATGTCGACGCATCAAATGAACTTCAGCTAATGAAAGGAAACTCAAAAACCAGAAATCAACACAAACAGAATATTTATTATTCTCGATGCTGCTGAACTAATGCCCGTTTTTAAAAACAGGATAAGAAAAAATAAATCAGTTAAAATTTAAAAGAAGACAAGTACGATCTCAGATTCTCTTAATTCTAAATTGTATCAGCGAAAGATTCAACCTGGTCTTCTGAATACTGACAAAATGCCAAGAGCTCAAGTAAGTACATGCACCATTATTCCACAAGGATCTCCTGCATACAAGTTGTCCTCTGTTTTGTTTTCATAGTAACAGGAGCATTTAGAAAACACATCTCGTGTAAACCTGATCAATCAAAAGATTCTGCTGGCTAATTTTCCAATATAGTCTAGTGTGATTTTACTATGTGATAAGATACACAGAGCAAATACACTTTTTCATATTCCATGTTTAATAGAAGTACAGAAATATCTGCTTCAAGGCTATTTTCTAAACAGCTTGAGTATCTCTCCAAATAAAAATCAATTAAATGTTAAAGTCTGTGATATCATTAAAATGCTACCAATTCCTGAAATTGTCCCCTACATCGGTTTCACTAAACATCACTATATAAACACTCTTTAACAAAGTCAGTAACACAAAACACAATCACTGTAACAGAAAATAGTGTCAATAGGCAAATCATGATTCATACCTAACCTTTGTTCAGAGAAATTCAATTTTCAAAAGATTCATCATTCTAATAAAACATGTTCCTATGTATGAAAACTACAGCACATATTTTGAGCCTAGTGGTCAAAAGGGATTACAACAGAAGCAAACTATCATTAAGTGAATGCTGCTAAGTCCCTCTCACCTCAAAATAAAAATGCAATCTTCTTCTTGATACCAAGATTTCTTGGTATTCCACAGGAATTTCTTAATAATGAAAAGGATATGCACTTTACTTGAACAAATAGCATTCCTCTTTTGATGAACCATTTCGCCTGTATCCTAAAGATCTCATCTAATCTACTCACATACAATCTGAAAATCTTAGTTGAAATTTTGCTTGGGACTCTTGTAAGGTTAAAAAAAAAGCAACCAGGCATTTGCAAAACTTAATGTGCTGCAGTGTATGTGCAAATAGTTAAAACAACTTGGTCTGCTCAAGGACAAGCATCACCAAATATCACAGTATCACTGGAGGAAATTTTGTAATAAAGTTAAATGACCTTTTTCTAGGAGGACAGATCATTGCAAATTTAATTAAAATGGATCTTATTAATATTTCAAGTAATTTCTGGGCTTTAATATGCACTACAAAAGAAACAACTGTACTGAAGAGAAAAATCAATAGCCCTTGACTGGGACTCTGAGTATGCCAGAAAAACACAATCCTCTCATGAATATCCAAGGTCTAGCCTTTAGGGTTGAGGGAGAGCACCAATATTTATTCGGAGGTAAACCGAGTTATTTTTAAAATGGCCCCAAAAAAAGAAAAGCGAAAAATCAGTTCAAATTTTCCATTATCATGAAAGGTCCGGAAACAAGCCTTTCTTTCTTTTTTTTTTTTTCTAAGTGCATTTTAGGCCTCAGTTACCGTGCAGCGAAATAAGCCTTTTGCAAAGTCAGTTGCACACACAGCTTCCGGTGTGAATGCGAATCCATTACAGGTGTCTAGAAGCCTCCAGTGAAACCTGTATTATCAGGGGATTCCTCGGGCTGCCAGACCCCTCGGACTCATCCCCAATACCCCCTAATCCCAACACCTCCTTGCCCGACTCTCCCACGGGTCTTTATCAAGGGCCCTCTCTCCCCTGCACTCCTGGGGTGCAAGTACCCACTTTCCCTGGGCAAAAAGCTTTCCCACCGGAGAGGACCAGCTCCTGCAGTCCTTTTTATAGTTGGATGCTTTCAAGTCCGAGCGGGGAGGAGTCAGTGGCAGAGAAAAACCTCCTTCTCCTCCTCCTCCTCGTCGTCCTCCTCCTCTTCCTCCTCCCCCCCACCCCCCGGGGAGCCACGGCCCTGAAGGGCAACAACCGGAGACACTTCCCGACCTTCCATGTACCCTCGCCCCCACGGGGCCGGGGGGACTCGGGTCGCATCTTCTCCCCGCGTCCTCTGCTGCTGCACCGGCTGTGTTATGTAAGAGCGACAGGACGCGGGAGGCACATGCGTATAAAGCGCACCGATCTGTGATAACAGCTGGGGTGGCACAGCCGATCCGGAGTCTCCCCCACCGAAGACGCCAGACACCACACATCAGCGCCCCCCCCACCGCACCCGCACCCGCACCCATGCACACGCGCACATACACACACACACACACACACACACACACGCCCGTGTGTTCCTGTCTCACCCCTACCAGTACCAGACGCACCGACTGGCAAGGCGGGGGGAGTGGAGGGGGGCGGGGGAGGGGTGAAGGGAGGTGAGAGAGGAGGAGGAGGGGGAGGAGGGCGAGCGGTGGCAGCACATCTGCTTTGATAGCAGCCGGCGAAGCCGCCGCGGCAAGAGAGCCCCTCGTTAACCCCCTTCCTGTGGCTGCACCACGTCATGGAACATTCCCGGAACGGGCCAACGTTCCACCCACTTCAGGGAACCGACATAAAGGCGCAGACCCGGCGCCCCGCCGTGCACAACCCTATAACACATACACACACACAGACACACAAACACACACAGACACACACACGTCCCAGCCCGGCTCCCCGGCCGGACGCACCGACCGACGCGCGCCGGACCAACCGCCCCCGGCCGGCTCCACGCGCCCGGGCTCAGCCCCGCCGCGGAACCGCAGGGCGCGGGCGCCGCCGCCTCGCACCTTCCTTGGAGACAGTCCCCTCCTTCCCCGCTTCCTTCCTTCCCTCCTTGCCCGCCGGCCTGCTCCGGGCTCCCCAGCAGAAAGCCGGCGCCCAGATAGATGCCCAACGGCCCGAGCCCCGGCGCGGCGCGCGCTCGGCCCCAGGCCGGCGGCCCCGCGCCCCCGCGCCCGCCCCATCGCCCCGCCGGCCCCGGTCCCGGCCCGGGTCCCGGCCCCGGCCCCGGCTCGCCCGCTCCTTTCCCCCCGCTACCTGGCGACTGGCGGCCGGCGGCCGCGGCAGCCGCAGCGGTGGCCGGGCGGTGCGCGCCGGTGCACGTCCCTCATTAGTAACCAGGCACATTCCTGCCTCCAGCGCTCCCGCGCCGCCCCCTCCCCCCAGGACATTACGCAAAGCAGCCTCCCCTCATCTGCATAGAGCCGCGGCCAGGGTATTCCCCGCATTTCCCAACGCGCCAGACCCCCCCTCCCCCGCCCCCCGGCCCCGGGCTCCCCCATCCCCGCCCCCTCCCGCCCGCGCCCCCGGCCGACCGGCCGGCCGGCCCGCCAGGGGCTGGGGGCGCGCGCCCCGAAGGGCCGACGGGGTCCCCAACGGAGGCGAGGGTGGCCCGAAAAGTGAAACGAGAGCCCGGGGCTCCCCGCGGCAGGCAAATCCCAGCGCCCAGGCCACTTACCCCGCCGAGGAACCCGGATTCCCGCCGCTCCGCTCTCCCCAGTGCTCGGTGCGCTCTCCGCGCGCGCACCGCACCCCCCCCCCAACACACACACACACACACTCCCCGCCAGGCTGCACCCAGCACCCCAAAGTCGAGGCGGGGAGGAATGACGCTTTAAAGAGCCAGGAGACCCTTCCAAGTTGCTCCGGGTTCCCAGGAGCTCCGGCGTCCGAGACGCAACTTGGCGCCGGACTCGTGCCCGGGGGTCCCCCCGGGGAGAGATGCGGTGGAGACCCTCCTCCGGCGGGGGGACAGCAGGCGCTCGGCGGCGCCCCGCTCCGCTCCCCTCCACCCCCTCACCTCCAGCCCGCCTCCCGCCTGCCCGCCCTGCCTCCGGGCCGCGAGCCCCCTCGGGCGGCTGTCAGCTCCCGGTCGCCGCGGGGTGACAGGGGCAGCGGGAGGGCGCGCCACGGCGACCCGAGCCCGAGCGAGCTAGAGGGGAGGGAGGAAGGGGAGGGGGAATCCTCGCAGCAGCGGCGGCCGCTCACCTGGAAAGTCACGGCGGAGAAGGAGGAGGACGGAGAGGAGGAGGAGGAGGAGGAGGAGGAAGAGAAGGGAGAGGAGGAGGGGGAGGAAACCCCCCTGGTGCCCTTGTTCTCGCTGCCGCGGCGGCCGCTCCTCGCCAAGGCTGAGCGTGTCTGGTGGGGGGTGTCTGGTAGCATTTCCTTAAGGACAGAGGGAGGGCGGGCGCGGAGGGAGGGAAGAGATCCCGACCGCCTGCCCGCGCTCCTCTTTCCCTTTTTCTTTCTCTTTTTTCCTTTGCTTTTTTTTTTTTTTAATTTTTCTGACACTGTAGGGCGAGGAGCCCCGGGATGGGGGGAGGCCGGGGCGGCGGCGGCGGGGCTCGGGAGGGAGCCGCGAGACCCGGGCCGCAGCTGTCTGCGTGCGGGAGCCGCAGCGGCCGCCTCCCCACCCGGGCGGTGGACGCACCGGGTTATTCCTGGCAGCGCCTCCCCGAACAGAAGTTACTAGGAGGAGTGCGCGGCGAGGGCGGGCGGGGGAGGGCGGGAGGAAGAGGGAGAGACTCAGCCAGCGACGTCATCGGATCCCCCAGCGCGTCCCAGGGAGGGAGGCTGAACCAGAAAAACCAGTCTGGAGCGGCGAGCGCGAGAGGGATGCGCGGCGCGCGCGGGGCGACCCGGGAGGGAGGCGGCCGCGAGGGCAGGCAGGGCCGGGCCGCGGCCGCTAGGAGCGGGGAGATCACCACCGCATCCCGCTCGCTGCTGGGACCGGGGAACTCCCGGGAGAGCCAGTCCGTACTTGTCATGCGGAAAAAAAAAAAAAGAAAGAAAGAAAAGAAAAGAAAAAAAACGCTTTGGGCGTTCCTAGGAGCTTGAGAATTTCCTTTAGGGATGTTGGAACCTCCCGCCCCCTCCCCGCAACTTCCCCATTTCCCACAGAATCTTGCCCTGACGACAAACGTTAGGATGGTCGGAGACTATTGTCATTAACCTTGGGGTCGCGATCGCTTTCCTCTTTCTCGCCCCCCACCCCACCCCCGCTGCCTGGATTCACTGTCAGATGAGGGGTGAAAAAGAAAACTCCCCAAATCGGCTAGTGGTTGGCGCCTGCGTTTGGGGAGAGCTTTTTTTTTTTTTTTTTTTTTTTTTTTTTGCAAAGTGTCGGAGTAGCACTTGCCGCGCCTCCGTGGAAGCGCGAACTTTTTCCAGAGCTCGAAACGCCTCGCTTGCCACCTCCCCGGGGAGGGTAGATGGGTCGCACCCCGGGGTATCGGCCACGCTCGGGGCTGGGAAAAACCAGGCTCGGCTCCCTGCTCCGGTGCTTTACAAAAGGGTCTGGGGGCAGCAGCCGCACTGCGAGCAGCCGCGGCTTTCCTGCAGTTGTAGCGGGGAGGTGGGAAACGGTGCAGAGTCGGGGGTCGAGCTGCCGTGTCCAGCCGCGGCGCCTGCCTCCCGTCGGACTCCAGGGCCATCTCACCCGGCGCGGGGACAATCGGACCAGGCGGTGGGGGAGGGGAGAGGGCGGGGAAGCCCAGGCGAGTAGGGGCTGGTGCTCTGGGCTTCCTCCCCAGCCGGGTGACACCCGGGGAACACCGGGTCTCCCTCGGGCCGTTACCCTGCAAGTGTGGACTCGTGTGCACCCGCGGGGGAGGTTCCCAAGGAGGCGGTGGCGCCCGGAGCGCGGCGAGTGGCGGCTGGGGCCAGCCTGGCGCCCCGGAGCGCCTCCCCCGGGTGGTCTCCCCGCGGGGTGGGGACGGCGCGGCACCTCCGGGGCGCCGGGGCAGCCGCGCCCTGCAGCGGGGAACCGAGCGCCGCGGGCCCCGCCGGCCCTCCCCGCCCGCTGGCCTCGCCGCCGCCCTGCCCGGGGCGGAGTAAACAAGAGATGAGCAAGATTTGACCTGGCGCGACCCGGCTTTCTGGCCGGGGTTCCCCCTGAGCAGGTGACTCCGTGGGAGGGGTGGAAATTAGCCTCTGGAATTCCGGGCCCAGACATTAACTGTGGTTGTGCTTTTAAGGCAGGTATTTCACCAACAACTGCGGAATGTTTGGCGTCTCGAGTTTCAGATTTCGCGGAAAAGGGACCGAATGTCAAGACGGATCAAATGTGCCCTGGCCTTTTTCGCTAAAAAAAAAAAAAAATGGGGGGGTGGGGTTTGCAGCCCTTTTAATGGTTGTGAGAATAGCACTCCTGGTTTCGTTTGGGTTTGGGTTTTTAGTTCGACCTATATTCCGAGTATTTCTGAATCCGCCCCCCCCCCCAAGCCTCCCCACAAGGAACAGACAACTCCACCCAGCAAAGCAGTTGTCCGTGGTTTTGTCCATGGTTTTCTCCCAAGGAGGAAAAGCTTCCAGATTGGGACTGTTTCTTTTTAGGGTGAACCCATCCAAATGTAGGGCCTACTCCCACTTAAGCGGCTTCTCCTTTCATTGTCTCAGTTCTTTAATAATCAGTCTTTCTTAAGTTCAATGGAAGCAAATTCCCCTTCCACATTGTCTCTTAAATATATGCCTCTGCGTTTTATAACATCGTTTAGAACGCAAGACGTGATTTTTGCAATGTGGTTTTTTTTTCACTTGCAATCCCACCTGCTCCACACTCTGCGCCCGTTTTATATAATTGCTTAATAGAGAAGATTAAGCAGTTGCTTTAAGAATTCAGTTTCTCTTCAGCATACACAAAAGCAGCTGCCCAGGCTCCCAGAAACTGAGCGAGGAAACAGCCAACATTTGCTTCTCTAGACTGGCTGTTACTGGAAATCTTAAATGACTTATTTAAAAACTAGATTAAGTGATATAGTGTGACAATTGGGATGCTCAAGTAATCAGTTAAAATCATATTGGTCGGCGGGGGGGGGGGGGGGCGGGGGGGGGGGGAAGGGGGCAGCACATCCAGGGTTCTCAAGACCTCGGTCTTTGCACTCAGGGATTCTGGAGACCATATGTGATGCCAGGGATAGAACTTGGATCAACAGTTGCAACACGAGTGCCTTATCCACTGTACTATCCAGTCCCTAAAATCTTTTTTTAAAGCAAATACACAATCATTTTAATGATCGAATCCCATATTTTAGACATCCCCGCCGCCCCACCCCCAGGCCACCTCTCCCAGCTCCCTGTGCTGCAGTTGTAGAATCTGATCTACATGGAAACATTCAAAACAGGATACAAAACACTATTTTTGCATATTGTCAGTCTCTTATATGATCATTTCCCTGTGCTAACATCTTGCAGTCTCCCTTACAAGTGCTCCTTCCTCCTCAATGAATTTCCCTTGTAATAGATCTGTCAGTATCTAAAATAGTTCCCTTATCTGTCAATATCTGAAACTGTCTATCCCAGGGTATGTCTGTCCAGATTCTTTCACAAAGGCAAAATAGCAACAGGAGAACTGCTCTTCGCAGAAAACTTCCTGGAAAACCTGCCTTGGCAAAGAGTGTGTGGAAGCCATAAGAAACTCTGCCTGGTGCGTAGACAGAGCAGACCCCACAGGAAGCATCACCCAGGCCAGGAAGCTTCTTGGCATTGCTTGTTTCTCTTGCCATTTCTCAGTTTCAAAGGGAAGGAAAAGCTGGTAAATGGGGTTGTGAGGTGTTAGAAAAGTTAAACAATTAATGCCTGTATGGCAGCAGGATATTTTTCTGTATTATCAGAAGAATACTTTCAACTGAGAGCATTTTTATTCAGGACGTATTTATCCAGTGCCTACTATGCGCTGATGAGAATTAGAATCAATCAGTGAACTGATCCAGGATCCTTTCTTGCCTGAAGGAGCATGTTTGACTTGAGGGAAGGAAGATGGAGAATATATATTTTTTTAATTTTATAAATCTATAGGACTTTGGATGGTATTTTCAAGAGTGGAAAGGAGAAAGGATATGGGTGGGTGGATGGGTATGATATTACTCTATTAAAAAAGGAGGACAGAGGGTTAGATCAAAGGGATGTTTGCAAGCTGGAAATTGAATTCAATTCCTTGGCACCCTCCCACGCATGGCCTTGGAATAGCCCCCAGCACCAGCCCCCCAAGGTGTGGTGTGATTCTACCAAAATTCTTTGCCACCCACCAAAAGGACAAGATTAGCTGACAAATAAATCAAGGCTTGAAGGAAACAATTTAGTAGGGTTTTTTTTTTTTTTTTTTTGCTTTTTGGGTCACACCCGGCAATGCACAGGGATTACTCCTCCTGGCTCTGCGCTCAGGAATTACCCCTGGTGGTGCTCAGGGGACCATATGGGATGCTGGGAATCAAACCCTGGTTGGCCGCGTGCAAGGCAAACCCCCTACCCTCTGTGCTCCAGCCCCAACAATTTAGTAGTTTTTGGGTAGTCAAGAGCCTTCAGGAGAAGATAAGAGCTAAGAGAAAGCTGGAAGCCTCCATGGCTCTGTGTCTTATGACTGCAAGGGGGAAAGGTGTGGCTGGAACAGAATGTAATCAGCAACAGAACAATCACCCAGGGTATAGGAAGGCAAAGCTCAATAAGGAGCAAGTGTGAAGACGTCACCATCCAGTCCCATTGAATTTAAGTGATGGTGGCCTTGGGACTCTGGATCAAACAGAAGATGCAGTTGGTTTTAAAGCTCAAGATCTACTGCCACTGATTATAAAGACTGACAAGCCCAGGAGAAAGAACTGGGTCCCCAGGATACGTTGCACACAAGCTGTTAGAACCACTAACCACCATGTTAAAGAGTTGTAAGCAGGAGTCTCCCTGGAAATTTAAATCCTCAACTCAAACTAGCTTTAAAATAAAGGGACTTCATCTACAAATACAGCTGGAACTCAAGAACTAGACCAAAAAAAAGAAGAAGAAGAAGAAGAAGAAGAAGAAGAAGAAGAAGAAGAAGAGGAGGAGGAGGAGGAGGAGGAGGAGGAGGAGGAGGAGGAGGAGGAGGAGGAGGAGGAGGAGGAGGAGGAGGAGGAGGAGGAGGAGGAGGAGGAGGAGGAGGAGGAGAAGGAGAAGGAGAAGAAGAAGGAGAAGAAGAAGAAGAAGAAGAAGAAGAAGAAGAAGAAGAAGAAGAAGAAGAAGAAGAAGAAGAAGAAGAAGAAGAAGAAGAAGAAACAAATCAGTAAGATCTGGAGTCTAAATGGTATTTCCAGGGCTGGAGTGATAGTTCTGCAGGTAGGACGTTTGCCTTGCACATCACCTGCCTGGGTTCAATCCCAAGTGCCCTATATGGTCGCCAGACCCCCAACAGGAGTGATCCCTAAGTTCAGATCCAAGAATAAACTCTGGGCAGAGCCAGGTGCTGCCCCAAAACTAAATAAATAGGTAAATAAGTAAATGCTATTCATTCCCCTTTAAGCTCAGTCTGTCTGCCTCTCATAGTCCTTATCGCTGCTGCCTCATT